ACGGGCGCAGTGCCACGGAAGCCGATGACAAACGGCGTCAGGAAGCCAGTTAGCGGAAGGGCTGACTTGCACCCATCGTGGGGTTGGAGGGCTTATTTGCCACTTTTTTAGTTCAGGGGCTTATCACTTGCTTTCGGAAAAGTTGAGGGGCTTAAGATGGTTTTTGCCAAAGAGAAAAAGAGGATTAGTTGCAGAATTAGGTTGGAGAAATGACAGATTTTAGGAAAGAAACATGTGAGTGCCGTGAAAAAGCCTGGTTTCTTTTTTTTCAAAAAATATATATTTGAAAAAGTCTGTCTAGTTGGAGTGTTCGACACAATCTTTCAGTTCTATTTTTTTGGAAAAGTGAAATAGAACTGAAAGATTTGACCCACCATCTTGACAATTTGACCCACCAGTTTGTATAAACGTAGACAACTGACGTTGTTTTTACGTTAGATTATTATAATCTTTTGAAAAAAAAGAAACACTGCTTCTCTTGGTCCTTGCTTTTTTGGTCTTCAGCTAAAAAATATTTATTTGCTGGTGCGGGAATTCAATCCTTCCTTCTTCTCCTTATCTCCTCATATTTCATCACTTCGTCTTTTACGGTACATTGATTTCTCCGATTAGTTTCAGATCAAATCAAATGGCTGAAAATGAAAACAACAATTTTATCGTTAGCACAAATTCTAATTCTGGTATATGTCAGTCACTTTTTCTTTTCTTTTCTTTTTTTTTTCTTTTTTTTTGGTGTTAATGGGTCAAGCTTCATAGCTACCAAATTTTGGGCTCAACTTTCAATAATTTTTATTCCTTTTGCTTTTTATTTGTTAATATTATTGAGATTTTTTTCTAATTGTTCTGTTTAGAATTGGTAAACAACAAGGGATATTTTTTTTCTGCCACGTACAAGGGTTTGATTCCTTTTCTGTTTTAGTAGATCACAAGGTTGAATTGGTATGTATCTGCATTACATTGATTTTATATTTAAACTATATCTCAGGTTGTGCTTTGCTCAGTTCATTTGTTTTTTTTTTTTTGAAAAAATTAATATAAAATTTTATAATTATAATGTCACCCCACACTAT